TTTCCCCTTTTTGATTCACATGTTTCACCCATTTTTCTTGTGGGGCATATGAAGGATGACGAAAGGTCTTTGATTGAGGCTGCTGGAATTGCTTCCTGAATTCCTCATTGCGCCCAAACATCTCCCTCTTATCAAACACATATCTTGGAGTCGAGGATTTTCCTCCCTTAGACTTTTTCTTCTTAACAACTTCATACTCTTCAGTAGCTTTCTCATCATAAACAACATTACACCTTGGGCATAATTTGACATTTGATTCCTTCACTCTGCACTTTTCCAGAAACTAAATTAAATCCTCATCAGCTTGAGGATAAATTGCTTGTAATCCATCTTCAACTTTCATGTTGAAACCATCAGTAGCTTAGACCATCATAATATCAAAAGACTCAGCATACAATGCCTCTTCTACTTTCAAAGGGTCATTACCCACTTGCATTGAGATGTTTTATGCACCAAATCCCTGAAAAGGATACATTGAGATGTTTTATGACCAAGAAAATTATGAAAATTGCAAAATCTTTTTTTTCTTTTGCTCTAATGGGGGATTTTCCAGGCCTTGTGGCACAATGATTTGACCATCAGTTACTAACAAATCAAAGATTTCATCACACTTAGTTATATCAAATGTATAATTTTTTGTGATGAATTTTCCATTCTTATCAATTTCGACGGGGTTTGCCCATTTGATGGTCACAATACTTTATAAGAGTAAGGAGGTCATGGCTTGAGTTCAACCACATTAACCTCACTTTCTTATATTACATCTTCATATTCAGAAGAGTATTCATCAGCTGCTACATAAGCAACTTTTTCTTTCTTGTGATATTTACTAGTTCTGGCTTTTTCGTATTTTAATTGTTTGATTTGATGATCTATATCATCTAATTGCACCATATCTCTAAGGTATTGAGGATCTAACTTATTCCTAATAGAATAGTCTAAACCTCTTGCGGCCATTTTGACTAATTCATGTTCATGGACTTGGGTAAAACATCTTGCTTTCAAAAGTCTAAACCTATTGAGATACTCATCAATTAACTCAACAATTTTTTTATGTAAAATTGTTCGTGGAATAATCTTTCCATATTGGTCCACGTATGGACGGAGTGTGGAGGTAACATTGTGAACCAAGTGAACACATTTTTTGTGAGGGAACTTTGGAAATAATTAATTTTCAAATTCTCATTGTTTTCTATATCACCAGCCTCAGTTTGATACCTAACAACATGTTCGACGGTGGACTCATTGGTGTCACCAACAAACTTAGTAAACTTTGGGACTTTCCATCCCCTAGGGAGTTTCTTTTGTAAAAAAAATTCTGGTAATGGAGAGGAATAAGTAGGCCTTTGAAGGCTAGTATTCATACCATTTCGAATCATAATTCGTTCGACAATGATTTCCAAATTTTGTTCTCCAGCCAATGTATCTTGTCGAACCTACCTAACTACATGGTCAGCATTATGTTTTCTATTGACTACCACGATTGGGGGATGTTCAAAAACCCTAGGTATATGTTCGACACCCTAGGGTATTTCTTGTTCGTAGTTGATAATCTCTTCGACCATTTTCTCATGTCGAACGTGTACCTCTGGTTGGGGTTGTGCAACCGGTCGAACTGGCGCTATATGGGCACCAAGGAAATCACCTATTTGAGTCATTTAAGTTGCCAACTGTTGGTAACTCTCAGTAGAACTCTGGATTATTGGTCTAAATATGGTACCTATTTGTTGAGTAAGCATGTTGACCATTTCGTGATTGCTTTCGTCCATCTGCTGCCTCATAATAGCGACAAAACTTGTGGTGAAAGTCGAGATCGCTTCGGACGAAAATCCCATCTCCGTGGGACGACCAAATTGGTTTCTCATAGGCGCTGACCCATGATAAGGTGAGAATGTTGATGCAGAATTTTCAGCAAATGTCGAAACATTACTATGTAAGCCTACCATTACTGATGTTGGCATCCCATAGATTCTTTCTCCACCATAAGGCATTATGAAACTGGGCATATATGGTCTAGAAGCACTTGCCCTTGTTGATTTTGGAGTTATAGGTTGACTCTGTGAGATTATTAGCTCACTTTGTGTGCTTGAAAACCCAGTCGTAGTGTTTGACGTGGATACATTAACGTCAGGTGCATGTGAAGCAAATGTGTTTCCCCCTGAGGGATGTTCCCCATTTGAATTAGTGTTTTTAGGATCTACCATTTTTCCACCACTTCTTCATACACACAGTGTTGAGAAATTGTATATGAAGAACATGCAAAAACTATAAAAATATGCAAACTTAACACAACTCGTCCTATCAGGTGTGTCAATTTGTTTACACAGATTTCTCGTAAACAATCTATAGCCTCTTATTAAAGGTAACTTGCATGATTGGCTACAAGATCCTAGAACAAAGTGCTAAGTTTTGAATGGTTTTAGTGTTTGGATTAATATAAACCGAGTAAAGTTCGAAGAATGCGGATGCAATAGACAAAACTAAAGACAATTTGGAAAGTAAAATGCAATATTGAACATTGAAAAGTAAATTGTTTTGAATTTAAATTGAAACGCATGCATACATTTCCAGACCTCACTCTTTTCTCTCTAACGCGGATACTTTGAATTTTTCCTTTCCAATGTTATAAAATGCGACCCTTAAAACGGAATACACATTCTATTTATATAGACATTTAAAAATAAACTACTACTTAATATTCGACCACTCACCGCTTGGCACATATTGATTCCATGTGAAGCTGCTCTTTGACAACTTCTCCATGTCTTTGACAACTGCTTACTGAAACTATCTTTTTCAACTGCTTGCACCTCCGACTATGACTTAGATAATTTGATGTGAAATTTGGTTAAGTCTCCAAATAGTTTTCCTTAAGATCTCGCCTAGTCCAACTATGATATGTCTTAACCACTACTTTTCAATCCTTCCACCTTCAGTTATTATTCTTTCTCTTAGCTTTTCGACTTCACAACTCTTGCAACTTCAATTCATGCTTTAGTCGAAAATTCCAGTCTAATACCTACATGATTAACACTCCAACGCTCAAGTCAGTTTAAGATTCAAGATCGTAATAGTGAAAGTGAATATTATAGATTGTATTCCCGACAACTCTTTATGAAAGTATTTATACCTTAGACTTGGTAGAGCAGACTAGATAATAGACTTCGTGTAATTGGGTCTTTGACTAGCAGATAACACATCTTTTCCTTGAGTACAGGTTTCCTAGTCAACTTTGGTTATGACTTTGAAGAATCACAAATCCTTCTAACATGCAAACAATTTTTGGAAGATTTGTGGGATATTTGCAGCAGGGGAAGATCTCATCAATGTTCTTTGGTCCTTAAAAAGTTGTTGTTACGTACCTCATCAACAACATTTAGGAAGCTAGAAATTAGGTCTAAGTATAGAAACAAGACACCTAGGCTTTAAAACTCCATCACCAAGATCATGCTCCAAGTATCTCTAATAAGAAATAACTCCTCCACAACATCCTCCTCTTCTATGGTTAATTTCACTTTAATCAAAATTTCAATGTTACACATATGATCAAAAAGATAATTTGGCATCCTCATTTCCTTAATTAGTTCAAATGCAATTTTAATGGTGCTTATAATCATGGATCCTCTCTTTTTAGTTGTGGTGGTATATTTAGAGACTAAAGTGAAAATTTAGTTTTGGTTTTTGCAGAGCTAGTTGCTTTGAGCTCTTCTATACCTGCTAAATTTTGTGGAGTCATGAGAGCTATTGATATTTATAAATACAAAGGATAGACTAAACTATGGATAAGGATGAATTCTCTCTTGGTGGTGCATTATTTTTTCCAAGCAGACTTGGGTGCCTTGACAACTAAGATTGAATTAAATCAAGGATGATTTATTTTAATATAATTTGGGTGTTTTTTTTTCATGGATTTGAATTTTATTTCCAGAAACATTTGAGATTGGAAATTATATTATAACGTTTGTTTAAGTTTTTTCAAATTATATTTGGATACTCTCATATTAAAGGATGAAAATCTTACATTTTTATATGAATAAGAAATAACCATCCATAACCTCCCACTTTAAATTAATTTAACTCTTTTATATATTTTTTAAAAAATTTAAATTAAATACATTTTAAATATTCCAAGAAACTCCAATTACTTACCTTTAAGGTTAAACGGATAATAAGTTGCTCTGCTATTTTTTTTAAATAGCAAAATCAATCATTTTTTATTTAGAAAATGAACTCTATAAATACTAGGAAACCAAAAAATATTAAAAACAACTGGGTTGTTCAACTGTCATCAATTTGAGAGAGCATTATTAAATAAAAAATTATTTAGTTTGCTATGGAGCTCAAAATTATGCCAAAAAACTTGTAAACTTTTTTATTTTTTTCCTTTCAAAACTTGTCTTTCTTTGATCAATGAAAAATTCAGCATCACAGACAAGGAAGGAAGGTGATATGATTCTTCCCGAAAACAAAACAAAATGCATCACAGACAATTTTTGTCTATGGAAGGGTACGTTACAAAAGTTACATTTTTTTAAGATTATTACAAAAGGTACGTTCTAATGAAGGAATGGCCTGCAATGCAAGTTTGTTGGTTTCTCAGTAATTCAAAGGGAAAAACGAAACAACAAAGAGTACAAGATTAGTACATCCAATTTGAATTATAATACTATCCGCTAAACCAACTCAATTAAGTTATTTTGGTATAACAATTGAGTTTTGAGCATACTGCAATTCGGTTCATCCATTTCCCTCTCGCAATGTTCAATTTAAAATATACGCCAATTATAAGGCTGAATCGATCACAATGAATGAAGTCATTTTCACAATAATCAGTTATCATATCTTCAAATATCATATTGTTTAAAACAGACCAACATCAAATATCATATTATTAAGGCACTATGAACCCTCTTCTGTTTCGCAATACTGTTAGCAGAAACTGATCAGATCTGAATGTTGCTAAGAAAACAAAAGCACAAATTTTACATAAACACTTCGCATCAAACAGCTGCTGCGTGCACTGGCTTTGAAAGGTTGTCAAGATCACGCACTCGACGCCTACGGTGATATCTTCTATGGCTTCGATGATGAGTTGCTGACGGTTTGTTTGTGGTATTAGGATTAAAAATCTCCTCAGCTGGAACATCACCAAAAAGACAATCAAGAGGGTCTACCTCTGACTTAATATCAGAACCAGGATCTACCTGCAATGACATATGTGAAAAAAGTAACAAGCTGAAACCAAAAACCATCATACAAAACAAATCCCATTGTAATTCGTCATTTTGATTATAATTGACTGTGCAACTGGGGCAAAGTGATTTTTTATAGCCTAGTTTTAGGTACAACAATTTGTTGCAGACACGAACAAGTTATAAAAACCACCGATTATTGAAAATCTTGTCAAAGATATGTCCATCCTTCGCAACCACATTAGTATTACCACGGTAAAAGAGGAGTCAGCTTGCCCAATAACTAGAAAATCAAAAGAACTTGCCACTCAATCATTAATTGACGGAAAAAGAAATATTTTCAATGAACATTTTATGCAATTGCCTTTGTACAGAAAACATTAATAAATTCTACTTTTTCTTTTTAAAAAGTTAGTTTTGTTACATTTGGTATCTACCCAAGGTTTGAGAAGTGAAGTTAAACTGAAGTTATTGTCAGCCTATTTATTTCTAACTGAACTTAATGGATATACAGCACTACACTAAATTTGAGAACTAGTAAAGCCAATAAAAAGTCTAGCGAAAATATTGTCAAAGCGCACACAGACATCACGCAGCCCATTAAATAAAATTCAGCTAAGATAAAGTATACTTCTCATTCGAACACACATTACACTAGAAGGGCGTGCAACTTTCTCAGCACCAGCATTTTAAGTTTAACAGACACTTCTCCAAACACATGAGATGGCCAAGGTGAAAAATGGCCCCAAGGAAAGTCTATATTAGTAACCACTTCCATCTAAAGCATCTATATAATTAATTCAAGAACAAATACCGATTCAAAGTATGTAAAGGGAAGACTGAGAATACTTACAAAATTTTGGTTGGTCCCACGAGTTGTTCTTTGGCTGTCAGTAATATTTTCAAACTTGCCTTGGGATTTTTTTAAGGAATCAGAATACCCTTGGGATTTATCATAGGAATCATTGTGAGAGTCGTCGGATGTATTATATGAGCCATGATCATGTGTCCTCTTTCCATTGATTGCATTATCACTAAAAAAATTACGGTATCGCCATCGTAATTTAGGAGTATTAGAGGTAGAATCATCATAAATCCTTTCCGAATAAAAATGCTTAGATATAAGCTTCATTAGCGAAGGATCATTCTGGTACTTTGTCACCATTCTGTCATTTAACAACAAAAATATACCGGTGAGAATGTAATGAAATAAAATGTTACGTAAAACGAATAGCATATAGTACAAGAGACCAACAACAACAACCAAGCCTTATCCCACTAAGTGAAGTCGGCTACATGGATCAACTTTCGCCATAATGTTCTATCAAAGACCATGCTTCTATCCACAACAAATAAACTCATTTTCTCTCCCTTTATCACCCCCACTTCTTTTTTCCACACTAGGAATGTAGCTAGTGATAAAGCAAGCTACACTACTTAAAGGGTCCATGGACCATTCTAACAAATTCAGGGTAATTTGTTGTAGGTATATATGTATCAATGAATTCAGATGTTAGTGGAAGTTAGTGTTTGCTTCGACACCCGCTCTCGCTCTTGCTCTCTGTGCAGGCTTAATTAACACATGTTACATTCTATGCTGTGATTTTCCAGAAAATGTTGCTTTTATAACTACATATATATAATAGCTAAGTTGTAATTAGATTTCAAAATCAAATCCCAAATTATATCTGCCTATCAAGCTGCCAGTGAGACGACAGCCAAAATGACATTAACCAAATTCCAAAAGTCACAAAACTAAACAAAAGATAGGGATGAAATTGGTCTGAGTAGTGGAAAAGTTTAGCAGATGAGTAAACAAAACTTTCCATAAATTAACTTGTAATAACTTCCACTATTATCAAATCCTTACAAGTCATAACTAATGTTAACAACTGATGATACTATCATATATTAGTTAAATCCATTGTTGTCAAACTCGAGATATCCTACTTTGGATTGGGAGGGGTGAAAGGGTCATAACTCAAGGATCGTAGGGCGGAAGCGATGCTGGTCACAGCGGCTGATGGAGCTCCAGTTGAAATGGGAGAGAGGGATCACATTGAACCATTAAAACTAGGATTTTGACTACTTTTTTTACAAACTGGGTCAACCACCAAATCCAAGCCGAAACACGTCCATCCCTGTTCTTCAAGGATCTTCCACCTCATCCAATCCCCGATCCTACAACCTAGAATACAATCCTGCAGCTGTTTCTTCAACCCCAGTCCAACTAGGGATGCAAAATAGAGATGGGGTCACAGATCAGGATCATACGATCCTACGAGTAAAATCGAAATCTTGACAACATCCGCTTAATCCCATAACAATTTTTTTTAACTAACTACAGATGTATCTTTAACAAAGTGGGAACTGTAGATGGGGTAAAGCTTTGTGATTCAAATGGATTTAACAACCATGCTATCCTCAATTCACCTGAAATAGCCGTCTAGGCATCTACTATGAAAGAATAGCTCTTTCCTCACTCATAAAATCCATCATTATCACTTCTACTCTACCAAGTGAATCATAAGGTTTCTTTATCTTGCAACAGGCTATCAATATCACTCCAATAAATAAGCTAGTTTCTACTTCTATTCAGACAGAAGAAAAGACACTTGACAATGATCTAGTCACACACAGGACCTTCGAAGTTTTATTCTGCAGTCACTTATGGTACTCGGCACCGCATACCAAAATCTAGCTGACTGGCTTTGCTTAACTTATGAAGGGGGTGGATCCTTTACATCAATTCCATACTCTCTACATCTCATAATAAACTCTTCATCTCTCTCTTACTTTTTCTCTCATCAAAATTTATTCTCTCTCTCTCTCTCTTTAACTTGCTGGAGAGGATCCATTTCAAACTTATGAATGAGCATTTGTTTTAATGCATACTCAAGAATGTCAGAGAATACGATAGTAATTGGAGCTTATTGCACAAACCAAAAGCGTTCATCAAGTGCAAGCAATTAGGATGAGAAGACAAACATATTTGCTAACTCCTTCTGTAATATACTGCCATCCAGAGTAAGAATATGGTCTGCACAAGAATACAAGGATCTACTAAATATCCACAGTCCACAGAAAGCACCAGCTCCTGCAAAAGGATAAAACAACAAACACGAAGAATGAAGTGAGGCTTTAGTAGACGATGTACAAATAGGAAAAAAACATAATTTCTCTTACCTGCTGAAAGGTTTACTCGAAATGCTTTCCTGAGTTTCCCGGTTGCTGTCATAGAGGAACATAGTGATTATCAGCATGGAAGAGAAGTCACAACAAAGGAAAAGAAATCAACTATGTGGTGTCAGCAACTAGGTCAATCTGCTGAAACTACACTAAAATTAATAAATATATTATAAAAGCCTTACTGCTCATATATCTCTAGAATCGGGAGTAAAAGATGACAAAATCGTCATGATGTTAAGGCAACAATACAAGAAAGAAAGATGATTCTTTAATAGCTAAGTTAACTTTACTAGTATTATGAGCATGTCATCTATCAGTAACAATCATCAACAGTAAAGTAATGTTTCAATGAATTAAAAAAAGAAAAGATAGAGGTTATATTCCAAATCTATAAATGACTGGTATTTTCTAGAAAACCGTGTTAAGAAATGTGGTTAGGCCTAACTCAATCCTACAAAACCGGCTTGTAGGGTGAGGATTGCCCCCACATAAAAAGACATGTTGAGGCCATATATTGTCCGAGGTGGGACTCTTAAGACATCCGGAGCGTGGAAATAAATGGTAGGCGGCCCGAAAGCGGAAACCAGATAGCAGGTGGCCCATAAGAACTTAAAGGAGACTCTGATATCATGTTAAGAAATGTGGTTAGACCTAACTCAATACTACATGAAAGATATGTCCCCTCTAAAAAAAATGTTTCGAGACATTTGGCAATAACATGCGAAAAACCATCATTGTGCATTTTTCATTAAAAGAAGCAAAATGACAAACCTGCCCATACAGCAGCACCCCCAAGAAGTGAACTTGCAGTGAAATTCCTCACAGCTTTACCTTTGCATGACAGAAGAATACCTTCCTCCTGAGGTGTCAATTTTTCCTAGAGTAAAGAAATGAAAGCACGCAAATGAGTAAACTCTGAGTAAGATAAGAAGCTGATTCAATTCAACAAAAACGAAAGCACTTATGAGTAAATTGCAAACAGCAAATGAAATTGAGAAATGGCAATAAAAGTACTGGAAATTGTAGCAGTAAACTCTGATATTTAAATGATGATTTTTGCATTGGAATAGATTTTTGAAGGGAAAGAAAAGCACCTTTTTGGAAATGAGAAGTTGTTCGAGATCGAACAATGCTTCACCCATTATGTTCCTTTTGATGTCTGCTTCTTGTTCTCTGTTAACATGAATTTGGAATCCGCATACGCACAGCAAGGACCAAATTGATAATTAGGTCAGTTAGGTATCCTAAAACTATTTAAATGAATTTTTTTAATTGATACATTTTTTCAATCAACTATATCAACTATCAATTTATTAAAATCAACTTCCACCAAACTATCAATAATAGTTTTTATTTTAAATTTTTTTTACATCAACTAACTATCAAACTATCACTAATATTTTTTTTTTAAAGAAATAATCAACTCATATCATTAATAAGAATATTTTGAATACATGTTGGAATTACATTAAAAATATGGATATTGGTTAAAGATGGAGTTATCCTAGCCAAAGTATGAGTGACTTCATTAGTTTGTCTCCTAGTGAACTTAACATAAGAGTTCGTAACAAGAAGGTTCAAGAGGCGATTACATTCTCGAGTATTCGCACCAAACTCTGAAACATTGGGCTTTAAAGTGTTAACACTATCCACCACACTTTTAGCATCCAACTCGAAATCCATATTATCTAGACCTAGCTTTTGCACCCAATTGATAGTTGTTACGAGGCCCAGAGCCTCTCCGATATATACGTCGGTGATGAGAGAAATTTGTTCTAGCCATGACAAAACGCCCATCAGCGTCCCTTATGCAAGCACCTATGTCTACCTTATTCTGAGAAAATGAAGCATCAATGTTACATTTAAGACGCCCCGTCAATGGTCTACCCCACTTAGAAACAAAAGTCTTACTATTTGAGATAATGTTATTGCTTCGAACATGTTGAGCTTCTTTCCGCCCTACCAAAAGATGCATAGCTCAATGACAAATATCAACTAAAGAGCAATAAGATTCCATATATGATTGTTCATTCCTTTCCAAATACTCCACATAATAGTAGAGAAAATCGCCTGATGATCTTGATTAGCAACTTGTAAAAAGGAAAAAATAATAAAGGTGAAATTACCCCATTGAGAATCAATAGATGTAGCGTAGACCATATACCCATTATTTCACAACACTCAATGCTCTTTAGACACTGAAAGAACAAATGATAGTTATTCTCTTCACCTTCCATACAACCTATACAACTTGATGGTCAACCAACTCCTTTGTCTAAAAGCTGGCTTATGGTGTAACACCCCATTTTTACCCCGACGAATATTAATAAAACCAGAGTTATAAAATTTCGACATATAAATAGGATGCTACACTTTCAACTTATAACAACGAATTTAATCGCATATAAATAGATACATAACACTTAAATCATCGAATGAACAGATAACAACAATTTTAGTCTTTAAAACGAAACAACTTTATTACTTAAGCAGCGGAATCACAATTTTCAACTCAAATGACATAACATCTTTGTCCAACTGAAAACAACTTTAGAAACAACAAAGTACTTAACGAAATCCACTTAAAATTCAGCAACGGAAGTAAAATCAACAATAAAGCAACAAGCGTTCATCCCTCCCGAGTGTTACGTATTAGAGCGAAGAAACCGACTCAAACTACTGAAGGTAAACAACCTTCATTCTGGATTACTTACACGTTACCAACATAGGGGTAACATTCAAACAGAAGACGTGAAATATCAAACAATATAATAGAATGTATGATGAATAATATATTAGAATCATTTCATATAACAATCACCATTTCACAACTTTTTAACAACATTCAACACAACTAATTATTCTATACAACAATTCAGGATGCAACATGAAATGTGACTTGATTTTTATGCACATGCATGTGGTACCAACGGAGCAAAACTCTCAACTTAATAATTTGTCAATTAATAGAGACATCAACAAGGGATAAGCCTTCAATTTATATTTGCCAATCCAGGCCAACTTACCGAGCATGAGCTCCCAACTTTATATGCTATGTATGCGACAACATTATGAAACACAACAATAACTACAACATCAATCATTCAACAACAATTCAACAACAACTCAACAACAATTCAACACTGGCCACAAGCCTACAACTTATCTACCAAGAATTAGAGGCATTTCAACAACATCTGTATATCCTGCAACTTCGCATCGTCAACAATATTGACATTACAATAACATAGTAAAATTCACAAATACAATCGAAACTCATTGCAATAACACTACATAATTATTCAGCCATATGTCTATATTCGGCTATTAGACGTTCTGTGACGGTTCCTCTAATATTAACATGCTGCAATTATTATATAAGCTAGTACTGCTATCAATAATTTCTACTACTGCTTTTGCTACTAATTAATTCTCTACAGTTGTTTTATTGCTAATAACTTTCTGTCATCATTTCACAATTAACTCCTACTATCAACTTATTCCTGCTACATGTACTATGCTTTTATATTGTTAACAATTTTCCGATAAGGTTCCTGCAATTACATCCTACTACTATGAATCATCTCCTACTACCATGAATTATCTCTGCTATTATTTTACTGTTAATAGCCTACAACTTGGTTTTAGCCAATCAATACAGGCAACACAACAAAATTCATCACTACCTGCAACTTCGCAATTAACAACAACATCATCAGAGCAACTTAATAATTGTGTCTGCTTAGCATTTTGACTCTGTCATTTATTAATCTTACCTGCTATATATGCTAATCTACAATTTGTTTACTTCGGTAACTAACAAATAGCCTCTGCTATTATTTTTGCTAACTCTGCTACATAACAATTCAGTAACTAATTTAATATCTGCTATATATATATATATATATATATATATATATATATATATATATATATATATATATATATATATATATATATATATATATATATATATATATATATATATATATATATATATATATATATATATATACTTTGTAGTTATTTAATTATTCTTCTGTAGATTAACATGCTAAGACCATAAGAAATATTGATTACTTAATCTCTTCTACCCATTATTCATTAACTATGTGATAATAATTAGTAACCAATTAATAAAATAATAGACACAGGAAACAAACAACACAAACAAAGGAAAATAGAGGTTTATGGATGTGCCCCCCATCACCTAACTGTGCCCCTCGACACAAATATAAAAGGTCGTTCCGCTCGTCATAGAGTTGTGTTGCTTGACACCCTCATCTGCATACATGGTGTCGGTCGGCACGCTCGTGTGCCCCTTGGCACAGAGTGTTTCTCATGCAGTTTCTTCACATGCTTACTGATCCAAACACATAATCCTCCAAATCTTTCTTCGATTAACAGTACTTTTACAATAATATGATACAATGCAATATTACATCGACATAGCAACATAACGACTATATCAATAATATTATAGTTTCCAACAACAGATAGTTAATTCTGCAAACAATTCAGGAACATCCACAACATGATAACAACCAATTTCAGAAACAGCAACAACAACATAGCACAACAACATTACACCAACCTAATTCCTACATAATATTCATCATAAGCCCCGTTATAGAGTCATAACCTCACCCTTACCTTGGATTGAAGGTCGCTCTATAACTCTCCAATTGTAAACTTAGCTTTGCCTCTTTTCCTTATTCCTCTTCTCTGCCACTTCCTACCTTATTGCTCCAAGACTTTCTTATTCTTTCTAATTAACCTAACTCTTATATCAATTTAACCTTATTTCATTAATCCTATTGGCCTAACTTACACACCGCCACTGTAACGCCCTTAATTTAATTAATTATTTAATTAAATTATTTTTGGAATATTTTGTGAAGATGTGTTATGATTAATTGGATTTATTTATTAACTGGAGAAATAATATTAGAAGTATAATATTATGTGGTGTGGGCTTATTTTGAAGGAATAGAAATAAAAAGGGGGTGTATTAGTTTGATCCCAATAAGGAATAAAGAATAATAGGGTTATTTTATTGTTGTTAGAAAGAATAGAAAAGAAAGAAGCAGTAGAAGAATAAGGATTGAGAAGAAGAACGTGAAGCTGCTGGAAAAGGAGGAAAAACGACAGAATAAGAATTCAACCGGAAGATTATAGAGCGACTTTCGATCCAAGGTAAGGGTGGGGTTCTGACTCTATAGTTGGGTTCATGATGATTTATATGTGGGGTTAGAGGTGATGGTTGTCTCATTATTGAATTTAATGCATATGATGTTGTATGATGAAGAATTGATGAATTTTAGATGAATAATGATATTCCGATGTTGTTTAATTGATGTAGAATTATAGGATGGTTGTAAGCGATGATTATCCATAATTAGATTAAGTTTTTAAGGCTAAATGTATGAATCCTGTAGTGAAAATGCAGAGGAAATCGCGGAATGTATGCAGGATGGAACAGGATGTGTCGACCTCAAACATGATGTGTCGATACATGAGGGCTTATAAACTCAGTACGAGTCGACACGAAGAGACTTGCGTCGATACATGAAGGTTGAAAAACTCGGGATGAATCGATATGTAGGATGTATGTGTCGATACATGCTGTGTGTAAGACTTAGTGTGATACGGTGGGAGAACTGACTTGAGGTTTGCGTTTGTATTCGCAAATGTTGCGGTTAGCAAGAGTCGCCACCGACTTTTTATTTTATCCTAAAGGAAAGGTTAAAAAGCACAGCAAAAACCTTTTGAGATGTTTTCTTTGGTTCGGGGAGTAGATTATAGAAAGGGAAGGTATTAGCACCCTTTCTATCCATGGTTATCCATGGGCTCTTAGTTACTTGCTTAGATCACTTGCCTTGTGCTTTCAATTGTTTGAAATGGTGCTTTGTGTGTGGATTTTTGAAAATGTTTTGAAAAGAGGCCAATGTGGTGGCAATCTTTGTAATGATCCATGTGGGGATGTATACAAAGATGTATGTCTTTTGAAAAGGTTTTCATTTGTTTTTGAAAGTTGTTTTGAAAGTGTAGTGATGTGTGATTTTGAAATTAGGCAAGTGTTTTGTTTTGCAAGTTTGATTCAAGCAACTAAGAGGTTATCTACCCCTAAATTTCTCAAAAA